TTTTTTTTTGTTATACCAAATTTATATTTTTATTGATTGATTGATACATTCATTTGTTCTTTCAAATAAACAAAAACCTAGTAAGTTCCTCATATTTGCCAGGTAATATGTGGAAGGTACACATACTGTCTATTCAAATGATTTCAATCCGCTCTTGCCAGCATTCATTACTGTGGCCAGAATTAGTGACAACTAAGGACAACAGAACTGATTTACTTGTCCAAAAGTTTTATTGTATTTCTTTGATTTGTAGTTATAAGACATCCCTGCTAGCTTGCTGATTGCTTTAGAGAATTTCCTTGCCCCTTTTTGTCTTCCTCCCTCCCCCAATATATGTGTTCTAGAGCAAATTACTTAATCTGTAACCTTGTTTCCTCATTTGTCATATGGGAGTAATAATTGTAAGAATGGCATTGTAAGAACTCAAGGAGACATTGTATATCTTAATGTTTCAGTGAAACATTGTATATCTTGTTAGTGCCTAACACATTGTAAGCACTCTGTAAACATTCCCTGTTGCCTTATTACTTCTAGGAGAGAGAAAGTGAAATGAATCATCAGTTGACCCAAGGAATGGTCAAGGTAAGAACTGTGTGCATGTGCCCTGTACGTCAATTTTTAAACAAGCTTCTTGTGTGTTTAAACAAATCAGTCTAGCAAGTCATGAACTTCCTTCTTTCTTTCAAGAATAGAACAGATTAATTAGTATATGGATGGTGGGTTTTTGTTTGTTTTTCCTAAGGCATATTGCTAAATTTTATGAAGTTCTGCTAAGTACTTCAATACGAAAATATATGTCCTTCAGTTTTTGTTGTTGTTAACTAGGATTTATGAATGTTCTTCAGTCAACGAAATAAGAAATATATATTCCAATTCTATCATAAGCCTACTCATTAGTATCATATATTTAATTTGAATAAAGGAATATTGGTAAAATATGGTCTTGGCAAATTATGCATTGTATTAAATTGAGTTTCACATTGTGTTGATTTACAAAGACTAAAGATAAGAAGTCTGAGTAACTGACAGATGTCAATCAATAGGTTCTATTGTTTAGGAATTGTATATTACATCAACATACTAAATAAAAATTATGTTTATTCAATTGTGACCACATCTATCTTATTTGATATTTTACAATGAATAAAGTATGCACTTTTCAAAAGAAGCAAGTTAAATGCGGCATATGGTGAAAGCACTTCAAGCTGCTGGAGAAGTAGCAAACTGTAAACTACTTCACTGTGGTAATAGGCGTATTGCATTCTTTTCCTTTGGATGAAATAATGTGTTGCTGTTTTCATTGTCGGTGTAACGTCCTTTTGTTAAATACTTATATCTTAAATAGCTATTAGATACTAAAAACAAAACAAAAGCCCTTTCTACTCCAGCAGACTTGTGTGAAGAGAAAGGGTAATAAGCCCTGATGCAATTCTCAGGTTCTTCCAGCGGGAAGAAGTGGAAGGAGGCTGCTGGGAGGTTTCCGAACAAGCAGCAAAGTCAGTGAAGTAGAGAGTAAATCCAAATATTCGGCAAATGATAAATAAACCATAAAGGAGACACGGCAGCTGTTCACACTGGAAAGTTACCGGACGTTTATTTTGGTTCAAGTTTTATTTTTATATGACTAAGGAACAATAAGTTTTCCATGGGGGAGGGGTTTCTTATTCCTTATTACGTGAATAAGGAACCGTGAGTTATCCATGCAGGTGCGTGTTTCCTCAGGGCGCTTCTTCAGTCCCCGGTCTTCCTACCGGCAACCACGCCGGTGGGACCTCCACCATGGGGACATAACCCCGGGACCCCCGTTCTCGGGCGGCGGGGATTCTCTGCGCTCGTCCTCTACGATCCCCACCGCACTGCTTGCCACACGATCGCACCTCGAATTCCGATGTCTGGAACAGGGCAGTGAACCGGCCGGGTCTCGTTGCCCGCCCGCGCTCCCCTCCAGCCGTGGCGGGCAGCGGGCCCGGCCAGCGAACAAAGGCGGCGCGGGGCGCGGGGCGCGGGGCGCGCGGCCGGGACTGGCGCGCGTCTCTCCGGCAGGAGGCGGCGGCGGCGCCGCGCCCGAGCCCGCATTCCTGAGAAGCGCCGGGGCCCGCGGGGCGACGTCACCCCCGGCTCCGCCCCCGTCCCTCCCAGAGCAAAGTAACTCTTGACTAACAGGAGCAGTCTCTGACGAGCCATGGAGAGCTGCCGCCGTGGCCGGCCGGCGACGCGGGCGCCCCAGACGTAGTTTGGCCACCACGAAGAAGGAAAAAAGTGCCCGCGGGCGGCCGTGGACTTCCCGCCCTTGTCCCGCGAGGCCCCGCCGTCATCTCAGTCGTGGATTTCGCTGCGATCCCCCCCGGCAGCTCTTTGCAAAGCGGCTTGAAACTTCTCCCAAAGTCGACATGGATACGGCGGCAGCGGCGCTGCCTGCTTTTGTGGCACTCCTGCTCCTCTCCCCGTGGCCTCTCCTGGGGTCGGCCCAAGGCCAGTTCTCCGCAGGTGAGTGGCCCCGATGACCGCCCCCGGCCCCGGCTCGCGACAGGGTGGAGCGGCTCCTCGCCAGACACGGGGACAAGGATTTGGGGAAGCGTTCGCAGCCCGGGGAGGGGGCACAGGGAGCGATGTCCCCAGAGTTTGTGCCAGGTGGGGCGCGGGGCCCCGGGCTAGGCGTCACTTGGCGCAGGTAACTTTTGTCCTAGCGACCCATTGTTCCTTTCTGAGGCTCGCCCCGGGCGCAGGCTGGCCGAGGTGTGCGGGAGTGAGGCATGGCTTTTCTTTGGAAACTGGTAGCCTCGGCGTCCAGCGCAGGCAGCACGGCGCTGGGGAATAGAGAAAGAAAAAGTAGTTACGACTCCGGGGACGGCTACTCTGCTGCTCTGGGTGCAGGATTGTTTCTCTCTGCCACTAGAGTGTTCAGAAAAATTTCCCCGGGAAGCCATTGTCAGAAACGTGGAGACTCCAAGGGACTGACCTCGGCGCGCTTTGCCAGGTGCTTTTTGTCCCGGGAATAACCTCCCTTGACTATTGTCTAACTACTTCCTCGTTCCTGCCCCGGTCCCTTTCTCCTCCCCCAGCGTCGGTCAGCTCCTGGCTTTGCCGCGAGGGTTAGGGTACTGCGTGGAGCAGGTTCCGTGCGTTTCATGTTTTGAAATATGATTCTAAGGATCCACACCGAGCGGTCCTGGGCAGCGAGGGCTGGGAGCCGGGTGCGGGAAGCCTCACCACCGGAGTGGTAGCCCGTTCTTCGGGCTGAGCCACCACGACGCTGGCCCAGCTACTCCTTGGAGCCGGCCTGGGTGATGGGGGCTGCAAACGACTGCTGCCCTCCGGCCCCAGGAGAACCCCAAAGGAGGGATGTGGTGCCGTCTCGCCTGTTAACCGTTTGGGTTCTAGGTGAAGCCACTCAGAGAAGTCCGCGAAACCCCGTCTCCCGGTTCCGTCCTGTGTTCCCTTCCAGTTTGTTATCCTTCCTGTTGGTTGCTTCTTTCGTTCTCTCCTCTGGGGGCTCTGAAGTTTCACCAGGTGGACGCTGGGGAGCGGGCTCCCGGCCGCTTGTCTGCCTCCCGCCGATCCTGACAACTTTTCTAGCCAATTCACCCAGCTCAGGTTGGCTGGCGAGCGCCTTGGTTCTCAGTGCAGATGGAGACACAGAGGTGGCCAAGGGGTGCTGGAGAAGACGGGGGAAGTGACAGCTGCGCTCCTGGCTGAGGCCGCAGGACATGGAGAACGAACTTACTTTGCACATGTCGGGTTCTCTCCTTGTTTCAGCTGACGGGTTTCCAGGAAATAAACTCAAATGGTTGTGATCTGGAGTAATGTTTGTTTTCCTCCCGTCCCCTCCCCCACTTTAGAACCCTATACAATGAGTTAGACAACAGATTCAGGTGGCAGCTTGTATTGTGCACTCAGGCAGATTATGAAATGCAACGTGTAGAGGAAAAGCTGTGCATATGGGTGATGTATGCAAAGGACAAAAGCTTCATTCAATGAATGATACGATGGCTCAATTTAGTTCTTTTCTGGAGTAAGCATTACTGCATGCATCTCGGACATACAATGCCCATTAGCATTGCATCCGTGCTTGTTGTAAGTCATTATATGCAGGCAAGTTGGAGTGGGTATTGATTTCTGCAGTGTGTATCACTGCACAGAGAGCCTACGCTTGAAAAAGCATGTAGTTTGTTAATTGAAAGTTTGAATTCTACCAGTTGCATGATTAAACTTAACATGTACTCAAGAGTTGCAACTATTAAGGGCTCAACAGCTGATGGATGTATCATCAGCAGTAGAGGAACTTCTGTTGTTCTCTTTTCAAATGTTATTTACCCTTTAATGAGCAAGTAAATAATAAATTTAATCTAGCAGAATGTTTAGTTGAGTTTTTCTGATCCCTGGAGTTCAGATATCTCTAATGAACAGTTGTGTTCTTAGACATCCAGCTCTAAGTAATTTAACTGAATATGCTGCCTTTTCTTTAGTGTCAAAGCAAAACATTTGACTTTACATTATATTGAAGTAAAAGAATGTGCAATCCTGATATGCATTTCCCCCAAGACTGTATCTCAAAAATTTGCCATTCAGGATTTACATATATAAACCCAGAAATGAAGGCTGCTTATTCCCATAAAGTCAGATTGTGGATCTGCCTTTCTCCATAAATTAAAAGTTTGTTTTGTAAAAATTTCTGTTTTCTGGCTATCCTGAGTCATTTGGTATTCTACTGTCATCAGATATTTTGGCAGCCAGATTTGTTGCAAAGACATAGATTCAGGGATTGAAGGTGTATTTCTTGTTACTATCCCCCCCCACACACACACACATTCTACTTTAAATGAACTCATTTCTTTTGAAAAATCTAAATAAAAGTACTTTAAAGTCTGAAACAAATATGTGTTTATAATTTTAAAATTATCTGTTAAATATGTTTTTGAAATCACACCCACTTGGGCCACTTTACCACTTTTAGATATTATCATGTGGTTCCTAATGTAGTAGGTTTCAAAATTTTGAAGACTGAGGGTTGATGGATCTTGGATATATGTACTCATCTAGCCTGCTTTGTTTAAACCTCAAATTTAAGAATATTTTCATCATTGTGACTTTTGTCTTAGCTTTTGGAATTAAAGTGTAAAAATGCTGCATGGAGAGCCTCCTTCAAACCAGACTTCCTATAAATATCAACTTATATTTATATTCTTTCAGTTTAACCTCTCACTTAAAATTACATCAGTGTCATGTTATATCTGGGGAAACAGGCATAGAAGCACAATTATGCATCCAAGTTTATTCACTGGGTTGTGTAGCTGTTATTTCTTGATATACTGTAAGAAAGCTTTCTGTATCAGGACTCAGATGACTAACAAAATCAGTTAGATGAGGTAACTTGGAAACCCAACTTTCTCATCTCTAAAATGGGGATAATAATATTCACCCTGACCTTTCCACAAGGCTTTGATGAGGGTCCTATATGTATGAACTGGCACCATGAATTGTAAAGCATTATGAAGATGTCTGGGGTGTAATCATCCTATATTAAGGTAGCTTAGTTCCTTGACTTCAGCCTTTACTTGTCCCCCTGCACTCTCTCCTAGTGAGTGCAGGCTGTTCAGGATTGTGTGTTTCACTTGGCCAGTTGTTTATTTTAATCATTATTAAACATGGACATCCTATGTTGGCTAGACTGTAATTTTATCAGCAGAGTGGGAGAAATTATCTTTTTTTTTTTTTTTTACTTACCTTGTGCAAATCTTGACTTGAATTAATAAACCTGTGCACCATTAACATTCCTTCTATAGTATTTTAATTATAGGAGAAATATATTTTAAGTTAATTTCTTTAGCTGTTTGTTCAACTGTTGGTAGTCCAACTTTTTCATCTCAGAGTGGAGAAAAGTATGCAGCTTTTTAGATGCAGTCTTATCAATGACCTAGAGAGGGACTATTGTCTCTCTAGTATGATTCGAGCCTAGAAATGCAGCTCAGGATCCTGCCTTCAATATAGTCCCTGGCATGTCACACTCAGCGTGCACTCATTTGATTCCTTAGGACCTTGCAACTCATCTAAGCAGTGCCACTTTCCTACTATCTGATGCCTTGGTGTGTCTGTATGCGAAGTTATAGATTCATCTTACACTTATTACCTACTAGGACTTTACATCAGAGACAGCTTGTTTTAAGGTTTGCCTTTTAGTTTTCTGGTTTGGATTGGCCAGAATCCCTCGGTCCCTCAATTCATTAAAACTCCAAATTCTAATCACTAGTAATGATATGTAACTGGATATTCCCAGGACTGGTTTTTCTCTCACTAGTGCCCTTATATTTGACTCTGTTAATTTTCCTAGATTGCAAGATATCGTTTTGTGTCTGGCCTGCCCAGATGGGGAAGAGGCAGGTCTGGCTGTGCTTGGGCTTTGGCAAGTGTGCTGCTGACAGCTCTTTGTATTAATAAATGTGAATTTGAAGAATAAATCAAGCCCTCTGCCACTCCTCCCCTATCCAACACTCCTTCCAATTCCTGTCTAGCCGCAACAAAGCCCCACACCCACATACACAAAATCACAGCCTTTTTGTTTTTCACCAAATATCTCTTAATGCTGGACATGTTCTTAAAACCTGGAAATAAGGACTCAACCACTAACTCAGAGCAAACACCAACCTCCCCTCCCCCCACAACCAAACTTCATAGTTCTAGCAATGATAATTTACTGCATGTTTTTATGGTGTTTTAAAAAATGTAATTCATGTAATATGGTCCTATGTAGATAGACCATGTGGTTGCCTTCTAATACTTTGAAGTGCACTTTTCTAGGTCTGCTTAAGGTGTATTAAAAACAGTATAAATCATGTTATTTGAATATGGATCTTCTCAGGGGCATGGGAAATGCTGGCTTCATCTGTCCTATGCTGTTCTCATTTCCCCTACTTGCTCTTCATGCTGTGCAGGAAGAGGAATTCTGGAAGATTGAGAGCAGGAAACATCAAGAGAGTTTACATATTGTTCTTCAAAAAAAAACAAAGAACACTTGGGAGTGTGTGTGTGCATGTGTGTTTGATCTTTAATTTTCTAAAGAGGAAAAAAAAGCCCCTATTTTTGACTTGTTTATTAGAATCACATTCTAGACACATTCATTTCTGAAAATTTCCCTCTGTGTATTCCTCTCAGACTGTACTCTTTGATCATATGTATCTGGTTTGTGTTCCTTTATCAAATGGTGTTTCTCTTTGCCTAAAAAGGTTATAATTGCTTTTGAACATGACTTGTTTTTTTTCATCAAAACTCATGCTGTTTGTCATAGTTGCTAAATGATGGTACTTTTTCAAGTCATCATGTCTTAAACTGGTCTTTCATGACAAAGTAAGTCCATGCTTCAATCAGACTAATTTTTATCTCAATTAATGCCCGAAAATTCCAAATCCATGAAATAATCTTTTAATGTCATAGAATATTTATTTGTGGTTATATGAATATATCTCTGAATGGAAAAGACATTTTAAGTTCCT